AGAGCGTCAGCAGGGAGACTGTGGGATATAAAAGCAACGATACAGGCAAATCGCCATCTATGGAGGGTTCTCTTGGTATGCATGAAAAAACCGCCGAGGAAACCGGCGAAAGGTCGAAAAGTATAAAAATGAACGGGCGTTTCAACAAGAGCCAAGGGTGCCTGGATGAAGTCGGTCGTGAACATCGTGAGGGATCGAAAGAGCGCTCGAGACATAGAAGAGGCGAGAAAAATATGTCTCGACGATCGACGAGTGATCTGACGGATATGGGCGAGGCTGATACTGAGATCACCATGCTGTCCAGCCCTAGAAGGAGAGGCTCCATGAAGGGCGGCCTTGGTGAGTTCTTTCTCTTTCCCCCAAAACTTTTTCATCTCCGTTTATAACGAGGGATATTCTCCGTTCCAATGTATATCCTTCTCTGTTTTCTATTTCTGTAATTTTCTGGCGCGATTTTGGGTAATAAACAACAGCCGATGTTCTCGAGAGGCACAAAGCGTTCACTTTTCTGACGAGGGTTACTTGATTAGAGATATTATATAACGTAGTCTAGTAGCTGTATTAAATATATGAAAAATATTTGGAAGTGTGTTATTTTGTGATAAGTTTGACTTAATTTTATATTAACTTTATTATAATTAAGATTCTTTTCTCAATATTAAATATATTTTTAATATTTACATTTGCATTATTTTATATATATTAAATTTTGTATCTCAATATTTATAATATCGCGATCATCACAATCTCAGTGGATTTTTTTGCGTGGAACATTGCGATTAAAGTTCTTCTAAAGTTATAGCGAGCGTGACGCAGGTCGATTTGGGTGGAAACGAGAATTACGACGACGACACGTGAATAATCTCGGCACGTGCACACTGGTCATCAATAATTGACCTCTGTAGAAGTGAAATTTGGGATTTCACCACGGTGAAATTTGCAGCCTACGAATCATTTGCTCTTTTAATTCGACTGAGTACTCTCTTATCGATGAAAATGCATAACGCACGTTAATAACGCTCGTAATGCAAACTTTGTAATTTACGTGCTAAACGTATCCGTAATTTATACGTGTGCATATATATACACACATATGTATATATACATACAAGAAGCTCTTATAATTGCTTTTTGAATCTATGTGATGTGTGATGAGATCATCGTGCAAAGGCGATAAATAAAATTGATCCACCTTTTTTATTTAGTATCATTTATTTTGATACTCTCTTCTTCTTGATTCTTTTCTTACTTCTAATTTTTTTCTTTTTTTTTGTTTGTTAACTTTTTCCTAAAGTTTCTTTCACTACGTTCTTTTTTTATTTCTTACTCTTTTGGATTTTATTTCTTACTCTCTTGGACCTTTTTGCCACTACATAAAGCTGAAAGAGCTGTATTCTCTTGAGATTTAATCCTCCAATTTTCTTTGATTATTGGCCATTCGACTTTCATTGGTTTGGTTAGTGGAAGAACCATCGCACGAAACGCGTGCGAAATCGTAAATTTGAAAACGTGTATAAATTTGCGAGAAATCTCCCGTGTGATATAGCACGCGCGCGTCATAGATATTATTAAAATATTATTTAATTTGAGGAAAATTAATCTCGGTTAAATTGAATTGAGATGACATTTTGAAATATTCTGCGGGAGTTTATTTATAATCCTTGAATAATAAGAACATATTTTTCAATGCCTTGGTGGTAACAGTAGTAAAAATATTATCATTGTTAATATAAGTAGATTACTGTTTAGTAATATTAATCTTGAAATATTCGCTCCTGATATATTCGTCGACTCATAAAGAGACACCACTCTTATATTTCTCGTTATTGAGAATTTATTCTCGCGAGCGTTCTCGGATCATGAAAGTTTAATAGGTATAACACAACATAGTGTCAATGATGAGCGTTTCCTCAAACGTCTCGCTCTCGAGCAATAATATATCGATACTAGCATGATGTAACATACACACACACAGAAATAGTATGGCAGTTTTATTCTTTGACGATTCCTTTTGAACGCACGCTGCGAATGCGCTAGATTGAATTTTAATAAAACTATCGTGCGCGATTGTGTTACAGCCTATCTGGCATCCAGACGTGGCTCCCGCGATAGTCAATGCTCCAACATATCCAACGTTACCAACGAAGATGTTGGCCCCTTAAATTTTAGCGCTCATCCGCGCGGCCGACAACGCAGGACTTCGAATTTTCTTGAACTGCCCGGTGAGTGCATTTATAATTATCAAATCTTTATATATATATCTCTATATATGTATACATAGTTCAAGATTAAAGTAAAATATTTTTTGAGTCTCAAAAATTGAGGAATTGAAGTAATGATCGTGATAAATTAACAATGATTTATTCCATTAGCACAAAAGAAAGATTTAGCGTTATATTTATGATATAAAATTAAGTAATTAAGTATAATATAACAAAAGAATTTAATATCGATTACATTGAGATGATCTATGATTATAATACAAAAAGAATATAACTTTATATTTATATAATATAATGTAAGATATATAGTATTAAAATTGGAAAGAAATTGTGAGAGAGTTTATAACAATTAGATTTTTTTGCACGTGGTAAAATGTTACATAAGACGATGTAAAAGGCAAAGTTTTACATACTTTGCTATTATTTTAGTTAATTATGGTTATCTTTTGTACGTTCTTCCTCGATACGCTTAATACTATCATGTTTTTCCTTGAACAAAATTTAATATGGTCTTATGTATAACTTATAGAGAAAAAAAGATTATTAAAATTAGTATTTTTTTTTAGAAATTTTAATTTTTTACGCCTATTCTTTTGTACGTTGTTTAGAAAGATAACTCTTTTTTTCCATAACTATTTTGTTATATTTTTCTTTACATTTATCTGTGCTCCGTAGAAGATGTTTATACGCAATTTATCTAAATATATCTAACAATTACCAGATTATAATGAAATTTTCTGCAGTTTATGATATTCGTGTTAGTTTTTAAAAGTTGTTTTATATTGCATACTTTTTTCATATGAATTCTCATCGGAACTTCTCTTATCGGAACCTTATCAAAAGTTTGACGTCATATTGCGTTTGACCTGGTTAAAACTTCGAATGCATAGTTTGTTCATCGAAAGTAAGATCGGCGACAATAAGATAAACGTGTCCTGTCAGTTGTTAGTCAATTGATTTCGAACAAAATTTGTCTCGTGACATTAAAAAAACTTGTGCGCATTAATAGTAAACCATACAAAAATTTACAGCGCTTTGAGTACGCTCCGAGTATAAAAATCGTATTTAATATTTAAATTAATTATTTTAAAAGTATTATGGACGAACTTGAAAAAGATCGATTACATTTAAAATTTTTATATTTTAT